AGACTATTATTTATTTTGTATTTGTTGACGTTTCAAAAGTACCAAACTATGGTTTAATTGAAATAAATGCTTTGACTTTGACTTTGACTTTGACACCTCTGAACCATCTCTTAACTAAGAGTTACTTAACGTTACAGAGCACCTAAACTAACCCCTTAACTGTAGGTACTGTTACGTACCACTTAAACGTTGGAGAAAACCAAAATATCGTTAAGTGTCACCTAACTTAGTAATATAAATACAATACAATGACCACAAAATGTCGAGAGAGGTCAATACAGGCGCAGCAGACTGTGTCGACCTGACCTATGTCGGCGGCACAAAAATAACCAATTATTTCTAGAAGGTTCCAATGTCAAAGTCTGTGATTATAACTGTATCGATTATACTGAAATAACCACAGAATAGACAGATGAAATAACTGATGAATTTACGTTATGTTATGTAGGGTCTGACTGCACGGTCGGCGCGGCTGCCGCGCAACGTGTAGCGAGTTCGATTCCCGCACGGATCAACTCTTTGTGTGATCCACAAATTGTTGTTTCGGATCTGGGTGTCATGTGTATGTGAACTTGTATGTTTGTAAACGCACACACGACACAAAAGAAAGTCCTAGTGCGGGGCAAAGTATTTTCTTAAAAAATAAGAATGAACTGAGTCGTGGAGTGCGTAAGTTATAATTTAATCTTAATAATAATATGTATAAATACGAAAGTTTGTGTGTTTGTTGCTTAATCACGTCAAAACGGCTGAAGGAATCGGGATGAAATTCGCAACGGGGATAGATTATGGTCTGCAATAACACATAGGCTACTTTTTTCCACGGAAACGCGGGCGAAACCGCGGTTAGTTACTTACGTACGTACTTACGTTTAAAAATTAACGTATTCCAAAAAATATAAATAGTACTTTGCCCGATCTGGGAATTGGATTGAAATAGTAATAAAACAGAAAAAGAAATATTTATAAACATCTAAAAACAAATACACGAACAACCCGTCTATCATAATAAACCAGCCCTATCAATCAACCCTCATACGGCGATGTACATAAGCGTTTCACTAATACATGGTACGACATGCCACGGTGTGCTCGTGTATCAAGTGTATCGATGTGAAACTACAGCCGTTCGTGTCACGCCGCGTGACAAATTAGTTGGACTAATGGCCTACCCGACCGGCCGCCTGCAACGAAGGGTTAGTGAAAATGGTACAAAGCTATGCATACCCAGTATAAGCTGGCCGTTGAATGTACAGAAAGATCATACAAAGCCGGACCATAGTAAACTGGATGCATAGCTCGATGTGTATAACCAGTATAACCTGACCTTCGATTGTACGAAAAGAACATATACAGCGAGATCATGATAAATTGGATTGTATAGTTTATTATGTAGCCGTTTGTGTAGAGTTTGGAGTTAGGAGCAACCCTATCTTTGGTAATGGAGGTTTTTTCGCGATACAACGATGATGATGATCGCATCGATTTGCCATTGTTGTGACCGAAATGATACCTCGATTGAGTTCTTGTATCTATTGTTACCCACCTACCTATGTATTTATATTATTTTCGGATGTGAATGTCATTTTGAAGGTCGCTTTATAGACTTAAGGGCTGATTATTGCGTTACAGATTCGATCTTTGTCTGCCTCGACTGCCTCGTTGTTCGAGTGGTCGCAAGCGCGACTGCTGGGCAAGGGGTCTCGGGTTAGATTCCCGGGTTGGGCAAAGTATTACTGGGTTTTTTTTCAAATCTCAGTAGTAGCACGGAGTCTGGAACTGTGCCCGGTATATGGCAATAGGCTCACCCCCTATTACATGGGACTCATAACATAAATAGTGAAAATTGGGTGTTACATTGTACAGTGACATTAAGTTATTTAGAATCAGGGATAAAAAGGCGTGATGTTATGTTATGTTACATCGATTGTATAAAGGAAAATTTTAGTTATTTGTTTTTTCAATCACTATCGATATCTCATCCTTCGTGGAGATGCGAAACATAATGTCGAGTGTGGTTCGAGTGGTTTGTTGCGGTCGTGTGTGTGTTTTGTGACGCATCTCTGTTGCATGAGCGTTTATCTGCTGGCGGAAGGGCGATGCTGCATACTACATGCTGCAGATTCATTCCTTCAGCGGAATTAAACTAAATAATATGTATTTTCCCATTTGTTAGTAAAGCATAGATATCCGCAAAGTAACGCCTGATTCTATTGTATGCAGGTCGCGCGAAGAGCAGGGGAAGTGTATTCTTAACTATTTCATATTAACAAATGTATTCTCCTCTGCTGTTTAGACCTTCAGCGGAATAAAAATTAAGTACTATAACATATTCATAGTTGTTAAGTGAAGCATGGATTTCCGCAGCGTAACGCCTGATTCTATTCTGTAAATGGTTTTTCGATATCAAATTCTCAGCACAGATTCTAGAAATCTAACCAATATGTTATGACAGTATAATCTGACTTCTGATTGATTTGCATGCACGGTTGGTGCGGTGGCTGGGCAACCGGCTGCCGTGCAACGTGTCGCGATTGATTCCCGCACGGAATAATACTTTGTGTGATCCACAAAGTGTTGTTCCGTGTCTGGGTGTCATTGTGTATTTGAATTTGTATGTTTGTAAACGCACCCACGACACAGGAAAAAATCCTAATGTGGGGCAATGTTAATAAAAAAAAATCAATTGAACTAAAACAGTTCAAAAATAAACATCATCATTATCATCAACAGACTGTTTTGTAGTGGAAAATGTATCCATTCTAATGGATGTATGAACATAATTCTAACCATAATTGGGTACTTACCTTAATCAAAAATAAATTATTTCGACTGTTCAATACAATAAAATATTAAAAAACAATCACACTTTCATTATTTAATTGATTTAATGACTAACTTAATTTTAATATTTTTCCACCAAATTTTTAAAAGTATGCTATTTGACACTAAAAAATGTGATGTCACAATACACAATCTCGTACAAAATTCATAGAAAAACGACATTTTTCTTTTTGACAGCTCGAAAAATGTAATGAAATTGACCAGTTGTCAAATACCGTATTCTAGTGAATAATTCACATCACACAGACTCAATCTAATTAACTCAACTCCATAAATGTGGGTACATAAACATCGTAAAACTGTCAAACATCTTAAGGCAGTCACTAGCCGGCACCAATACAAAGTGAAAAGTACAGTTCCACAACGTCACGACAAATGGAATGGAAACATCAATAGAGTGCCGTGCAGCGTGACAAATTAGACGTGCTAATAGAGAGAACAGTCTAGGAGACGTGGGGGACTGGTCTTTAGACATCTAATAATTATGCCATTTTTTAAGTTTTAGTAATTAAAGGGATAATTGTGTTTGATAATGGATAACTTGCCAATGGAAGATTGTTTATATCTGTGTAGATGACTGACTGCACGGTTGGTGGTTGGGTGACTAGCTGCTGTGTAACGTACCACAGGTTCGATTCCCGCATCGGCTAAAAGGTGACAATGGCAACTTTTGAGTAAAATTACCATTATTAGCCCGGAATCACGAAGTTCAGCGTTGTTTCTCCCCCGTGCCTCGGAAAGCACGTAAAGCCGTTGGTCCTGCGCCTGTTTTCTCTCCGGTTGTGTCAGTCTGCTATCCCTTCGGTCATTGAGAGAACAGAGAGTGCACTTGTGTTTGGGCACATACTTGTGAACTATAATATTATCTCCTGCGTAGTGGGCTAGTCTAATTAGACAGACTGACCATCACGATCGGAATCGATCGGGAGATTTATTTTATTATATCTAGATAACTGTATAGTTACATAGCATCATGCCTTGTATTTCTCGAAGCGATTTAAAAACATGTGTAACATATTAAATGTGACTCCACAAGATGGGTACAAATGGAATGAAAACATTAATAAGGCGGCGTGCAGCGTGCGCATGAATTAGACGTGCTAATAGAGTTAACAGTTTTCTAGCGGGACACATATTATTTTATGTTGTAAAAACGAGCTTAACTCTATCTAATATACGATGATACACGTTTGGATAAGTAAAATATTTGTCAACTTCTAAAAAAAAACCAATATTGTTTATATCTCCTTAATATATTACTTTTTATTGGATGTAGCAATTTTTAACTTTCTGCTCTTTAACCGTATTTGCCATATGACTTCATTTAGATCAAGTAAACGACTAGCATAACATAATATCATGCTTTTTATCCCCGAAGAGGTAGAATATGGCACTTAATGCCACTGTAAAATGTTACACCCACCTTTCACTTGTTATAAGTCCCATGTAATAGGGAGTGAGCCTGTTGCCATATACCGAGCACAATTCCAGACTCCGTGCTACTACTGAGAATTTGTATTTTAAAAACCTAGCAGTACTTTGCCTGAACTGGTAATCGAACTGGAGACCTCTTGCCCGGCAGTCGAAATTGCGACCACTCGACTAATGAGGCAGTCAACTCAATTTAGCAATTACTTTTTGAGGCAACAATAAAAAAACGTAATCTTATTTAGATAGAAGAACTCAGTCTGCCACAGGCTCCTCTACTACGATTGGCGCGCAATACAAACTCGTGGTTTGTTGCTAAATTCCGGGAACTGTCACATTTGTGTTACACTATGTTTGCCAATTAAGAGAGTAGTGTGAATGTCATCAGTGTTTTGTGTATGCTTTTTATTCAGTTTTTGTGTTAATTTTGTAGTCAATGATAAGATATGTCCAAGTGGTAAGGAGGGTTATATAAGTTATTTTTACTTATCTAATAAACCTGTAATTAAGTGGTCGGTTATATCTGCTCACAATCTGTATATTTGGACATTACCATAAAGGACATTTTAATGTAGATGACGTGTCCCACGTTGGGCGCCAAAATTAATTTATTTATCATATTCACTTATCACATTGAGTTATGATGACTAGAAATGTGTTTTAAAACGAATGTTTTGATCACTTGTGTCTCGCATGGATCCACGTTTAGGCACACGACGGGTATTATCGTCATCAATTAGGTAACTCTAATACTCACCTCCACAATCCTGTCGTTGACCTGTATCTTCCCGCACAGATCTGCTGAGCTGCCCTCACTGATACTCTTTACGAAGATACCGCTCAGCTCCTCTGTCAACAAACAATATATTCTAGCTTTAAACTGTCAAACACCAAGCGGTCACCGGTGACCGCAACCTATTGTTCTATAATTGTGTCTATATTGACGGTACTCGACGAGTTAAGTATATTGAAATGAGTTTTAAATGACCTATATTCTTATAGAAACCGTATATGTTTTGTGACATTTAATATGTAGTTTTGTGTTTTTTTTTCTACATACTCCGAAAACATCGACAACGTCAACAGCCTTTAAGCGGCCACTGCTGACCAAAGGCTTCTTATCACGCGTATAAAGTTTAAGCACAAATAGCTTGGTCAATGCGGGTTGGCAATTTCAAACTTATAGTTAGAAATTATAAGTTCAGGTTTCCTCACGATGTTTTCCTTCACCGTTTGTCAGTGGTGTCTAAATAATCTTAGAAAGTACATATAACTCGGAAAAAGTCACATTGGTTTTTGCTGTTTGTTGGTTTTAAACCCGCGCCCTCATGCATGAGAAGCAGGCGTCTAAAACCTCCGACCGGGTCTTTAATCGCTGGTAACATTAAATCAACATAATATATTTTAGGCAACATAGATAACGATTTGTAATTTATACAAGCTTATTAGATTTAAGGCATGAGTTTTTAATGATATCAATAGAGTAATGTAGATACGTAAGGATACGATCATATTAACTTACGTCTCAGGTCAAGAGTCACCCTGATTAAACGTAGAAGTCTCTACTTCTTGCAACTTAAATCCGTCACTACCTATTTAATCATGCACCTTCAATCTCATAGAACCCTCTCAACATAATCCTCCCACAATTCTCCTACACCCACAATATTGTAACAGGCAACACCAAAATATATTCATATTCTGGCAACACCAACTCGGTGAGCCAATCAAAACTTGCGGTGAGCAACACCGCACATTTTGAGGGTACATTGTTTTTCGTATAACCCTTCAACTACCCTCATCTTATCTCGACCCCCTTCAATATATCAAGGCGATAAGGGTTAATTTCCCCCAGCCGCTCCCATATTAGAAAAGTTCGGCGACACGTGACTTGTTCTCGGGGGTGTACTCGACTTCTTACTGTTTATTACCACTTGTGTACACCCGGTAGTACAAGTACTGTTATTGCTTTCTTGTGGGCTTTTCATTGTATTGTTTGTGTTTTGGATTGAAGTGGTTTGGTCATAGTGGGCTCTAAGGGCTGACTAATGAGGGTTCAACCATCGATCAAAACTATGAATTAGGTGAAGTGCTATTTTGGTTTAGTTCAGTGGAAATTACTTCATACATACCAACACGTATAGACATAATTATATTAAGCAAAAAAGAAGAATTAATAATGAATTCATAGGATCCCTATTTAAGTCGTTTGTTATTAGTATTTTAAAAAAGGAACAAATTATATTTCTGTACCTGTCATTTAGGGTATGACGTCACAAACATTTCATTTGTTATTCATTTGTATTCAAAATTGGAATCGGATCCGATTAACAACAGAAATGTCACCGAATTTTAAAACTCAGTGATTTTGAGACGATAGGTATTGGATAAAACTCATTCAATAAGGTCTCGGATTGATGAGTTGAATCCAACTGACCTTTACCTGAAGGGAGTCGATAGAGAAATCTCATTGAAATTAAATCAATTTTTCAGATCAGAGTCACTGAACCAAACGAACACGAACAATAGTAGAATGGTGAAGATTAAAAAAGTTAAAATTGATTTCTATTTAATTTTGTAACTGTTCACAAAGGTATAATCATAAGTAATATTGGCCGCATCATCGGCTATTATTTTTTTTATGGCATAAGCCGGTAAACGAATAGACGGATCACCTGATGGTAAGCAATCGGCGTCGCCCATGGACACCTGGAACACCGAAGGCGTTACAAGTGCGTTACCGGTCTTTTGGGGATTAGGAGTTTGAGGATCGTTGGGGATTCAGGAATTGGGGAGATTGGGAAAGGGGAGGGTAATTGGGCCTCCGGTAATCTCACTCACACGACGAAACACAACGCGAACGTTGCTTCAAGTCGGTTTTCTGTGAGGCCGTGGTATCACTCCGGTCGAGCCGGCCCATTCGTGCTGAAGCATGGCTCTCCCACACTTAAAAAATTACTCCTTCTCCAAAAATTACAACTCCCACACTTATTAGGTGAGGTAGAAGCTTACCACTGGGAACAATTCTATATATTATGTACATTGTACATACTTCAAGTCAGAAATTTTTAGGTATCCAAAATGTCTTATTATTGAGTGTGTAGACAGATATTTAGACTCGCCGCCCGACCAGAACCAGGCCCGAGCGTACGGCGCGTCGCGATCCGCGCGCGCCTCAAGGAGCCATCAGACCACCACAGATGGGGCCTAACAGGGCTGATGCCGATACGGAGCCGCGGAAGACTTAACGGGTTGCCGGGGCTCCGGCTCGAAGTGCAGGAGTAGGAACGGGGTGGTTTTTAGTCAGTAAGAGTCTGACACTCCCTCCCGCCTCACCCAGGCGGGAGAAGTCATTGGATGATTTTCCCCCCTCAAAAAAAAAGACAGATATTTAGTAAACTCTGTAGTAACATGCTTACTATTGTTTGATAACAACGCCTGTTTTACCGCCAAGTAGTTTTACTACGCCAGCCATCTATCTATCTATGCACGTTTACCACGATGAAAATCTCATTGTAGAACCATAGCACAGACTCTATCAATATTAAGGTACCTCTGGTGTTGCAGGTGTCCATGGACGGTATTAATCGCTTACTGTCAGGTTATTCGTATTCACATTGCCCAGTAATAAGGACAAATTTGAACAAAGCAAAGTACTACTGGCAAAGCAATACTGGGTTTTTAAAAAAATCTCAATATTAGCACGGAGTCTGGAATTGTGCCCGGTATATGGCAATAGGCTCGCCCTCTACATGGGACTCATGACATAAATAGTGAAAAGTGGGTGTTACATTGTACAGTGGCATAATGTGCACCTCTGTCTACCGCTTCGGGGATAAAAGGCGTGATGTTATGCCATTTGTCCTTATTCCATAAGAAACCAAAGTCAACAAACAGTACATACATCCTTCCTAATAGCAGTTGAATGAACTCATCATGAAGACTACAAAAGACTCCATATCTCTTACTATTCATTTGCCAGAAAATGTCACAAACAAAAAATATTTTGCTCGCCGAAGTTCCATCTATCCAAATTACAGTATTCCTGTCAACCAAGCCTTGTCATTATTTCCCTGACCTTCATCGACCTCAAGGGCTATAGACGGACTAAAAATAGCTATCTATACATAAACTCTAGCAGACGGAGGGTAAATATGGGCGACTGGTGTTTGGGGTGTCCCAGAGTTACTGGTGGAATACACATACATGACCAAAGCCTGTCTCCCATGGGGGTAGGCAGAGACTACCGAACGCCAATTGCTACGATTCTCACATACCTCTTTCGCTTCATCAACAATTTTTGGCCGCCTTTTCATTAACATGGGTTTTTTCATATTACATTAACATATGGTATAATGTACTCTCGCAACATCGGGACGGGCAGCTTGAATAACACAGCTAACAACAGTTTCAAGAAAACCTTCGACAATTTTTTAATATCTGCCACAATTTCCCACCCACACGCACGAAGCGCTTCGCATCAAGCCTCCTTGTGCGTAATGCTAAGGAGTGGAATTGTTTGCCAGAGTTTGTGTTTCCTGATGGGTATGACCTGGGTGTCTTCAAGGCCCGAGTGAATAAGTTGCTTATGGGACGACGTGCTCCATCGTAGACCGCATCATCGCTTACCACCAGGAGAGATAGTGGCCAAATGTCGGCTCATCAAATATAAAAAAAAAAATTAGACATTTTTAAGGAATAATATTTCTTTTCTTGAAGTCCAATGGTGGTAATTTGCAAAGTCAACGAGAGATAGCAGGTAATGATGTATCTTTGAGTGAACTCTGAACAATGAGTGCCACTGCCTCCTTCAGAGTTGAGTGTCCCATTATATTTGTGAAGTCAGTGTCGCACATTAACACAATCACCTCATTAGACGAGGCAAAGGTAAGTTACAGAAATGTCAGAATTTTGTTATCGTACTAGACGAGCAGTGAAAGGTGGAAAAATTCAAGTACATAATTTTAGGAAAATCTCTGAACTTTATGTCCAACTATTAAAGACTGATTTTCTCTTGAATTTGCCGGATCAAAATGAGGTAGGTATCTACTAAACAATACATTACATTTCATCAAAGATGGAACATATTAGTCCGGTGGCTGGGCAAACGGCTGCAGCGCAATGTGTCGCGGATTCAATTTCTACACGGAGCAACTCTTTTTGTGTATTTGTATTGTAACTTTCGTGAGACATACTAAATAAATTAATATATTTTCGGCTTACTCACGTAATAATTTGACTAGAAACTCGACTAGTTTCAAGCCATGCTAGAGGCTCATATTCATGAGCAGCATCTCGCGACCCGGGACGTAGCGACTGCGCTGCTACTACTCAGTAGCAGCCCGACAGTCGCCAATCGCCAATTAACTCTTTGTGTGATACACAGATTGTTGTTCCGGGTCTGGGTGTCATGTGTATGTGAACTTGTATGTTTGTAAACGCATCCACGACACAGGAGAAAATCTTAGTGTGAGCCAACATTTTAAAATTAAAACAAAATAAATTAAAAGTATTTTAGAACTAAATGTAATATACATTTCTCCTTATTCGATTACAGTTGTTATAGCACTGTGCAATGGGATTCCAACGTTTTTTCTAAACTTAAACCACCACGGAACTAAACGAATTGAACAATAACTTCAATAAAAACTAAAGGAACTCCAAGTCAAACCTTCCACGCCACGTGCTACCAGCTCTCGACATCTTACTAATATAGAACTTTCAAAAAATAACGACTTTTCGGCACTGACAAGTTGGCACGACTTTTTAATTACTTTCAGCTAACAATGATAGATGGTGCTGGTATCGGTTACACTTTCAGAAATTGCTTTGATAAAAATAATGAAAGAAAAACCTTTGATCTTGACCGTTGATCGACTGAAAAGCAAAAAGATTTTAATCTCTAAAGGATGGGTTTTTTTATAACAGTATAATGCCAATAAAAAAAAATCATAGTTACCTATGTAGACTATTTGATTGGTTTTGGCGCCCGCTACTCAAGTATGAGAGTCCGTGTCCGAAAAAAGATATGAGACTACAATAGGGTGAACATAACATCACGCCCTTCATCCCCGAAGGGGTACGCAGAGGTGCACACAGAAGTAACACCCACTTTTCACTATTCATGTTATTAGTCCCATGTAATATGGGGTGAGCCTATTGCTATATACCGGGCACATTTCCAGACTACGTGCTACTACTGAGATTGTTTTTAAACCCAGTAATACTTTGCCCGACCTGGGAATCTTAACTGAGACCCCTTGCCCGACAGTCGCACTTGCGACCACTCGGCCAACGAGGCAGTCATAGTTACTTATGTAGACTATTTGATTGGTTTTAGCGCCCCCTATTCAAGTATGAGAAACCGTGTCCGAAAAATATCAATTAAAATCATATGTATATAATGTCGTGGTGGCCCGGAGGTTTGAAACGCCCGCTTCTCATGCATGAGGGTGCGAGTTCGAAACCTACCAATGCCAAGTACCAATGTGACTTTTTCCGAGTTATATGTACTTTTTAAGAACTATATAGACACCACTGACAAACGGTGAAGGAAAAACATCGTGAGGAAACCTGGGCTTATAATTTCTAATTATAAGTTTGTAATCGCCAACCCGCATTGAGCAAGCGTGGTGATTGATGCTCAAACCTTCTCCGTGTGAGAAGAGGCTTTGCTCAGCAGTGGGCATTTATAGGCTGTTGACGACATAATGTATATGGGACTACAATAGGATAAACAATTGAAATATTTTTATTTTTGCCCAGCACGCGATTCCTATGTGAATATTCCTATAAAAAAGTATCTCAAGAACAACGTTTTCAAACAATGAATTCTATATTTACGTGTAAAGTAAAAGTTTTTGAGCAATGGCCTCTAAAGGTAGAAGTTTTGAACATTTCCTTTATTTATGCAGACATTAAGGCCATTTCATAGGACAATGTCTTAGGAAGAACTCATCTTGAGATGTTTAAGGATCTGAAGTTTTTCACTACTATGGTTGAGTGACTCAAAGAACCACTGCTGAGCATAGAGAACTATAAGATAACATGTGGAAGAAGCCATGCTTCGGCACGAATGGGTCGGCTCGACCGGAGTGATTCCACGGCTGAGCAGAAAACCGACGTGAAACAACGTGCGTTGTGTTTCGTTGTGTGAGGGAGGTTACTACACTCACAATCTCCCCAATCCCTGAATTCTGTTGGGGTTCCTCAAATTCCTAATCCCCAAAAGGCCACGCACTTATAACACCTCTGATGTTTCGGGTGTCCATGGGGGCGCCGATTGCTTACCATCAGGTGATCCGTCTGCTAGTTCACTGGCTTATCCTTACTAATATTATAAATCGGAAAGTGTGTTTGTTTGTTTGTTCCGCTTTCCCGCCGTAACTACTAAACCGATTGCTTTGAATTTTTGCAGACGTAAAGTTAGAAGTCCGGATTAAATAATAGGGTACTTTTTATCCCGGAAAAATTTGATATTCCCGAGGGAAAAGAAAAGTATTGGTATAGATGGCGCTGTGTGTATTGATATATGTCACATATGTTAATTTTATCCTTTTGTGACAAGCGAAGCCGCGGGTAAAAGCTAGTTTCATATAAAACACCACACCTTTTAATCCCCGAAGGGATCAGCAGAGGTAGGTCTCTCAGTCAGAATTTTCTTTGCAACTCGGAAACAGTGAGAACCCCTAATAATAAGGGACTTACAAGTCTCCTATAATTAGGGGATGAGCCTACTAATGACCTGTAAATTAGAACTTTTACTTAAGTTTTAACATAAATTCCGAGAGTGCTAAGACTGACCTTATCACGACAAATGTAATCATCAAAGACTAACTACACCCCCCGGAATCATCAACAATAGCGAGGTCCACCTAGATTAGAAGCAGACCCTATAGCATAGTTAGTGGGCTGCGCCACACAAATAGACGGACCGATTTATTTGTACTAGAAAACTATTTATAGAGCTGTGTTCAGTTCCTAGGTTCCTGAGAGATATTTTGTGATATGTAATAGATAATTATGTAATTTTTTTGAAGCGCGAAAATCATCCAACGACTTCTCCCGCCTTGGGTTAAGTGATAGGGAGTGTCAGACTCTTACTAACTAAAAACCATCCCGTTACTAATTCTGCTATTCGAGCCGGAGCCCCGGCAACCCGTTAGGCCTTTTGCGGTTTCGTATCGGGCATCAATCCTACTGGGTTCGCTATGTGATAGGTTCTATTATAGATAAAACAATTGTAATTGCACAGTTTCAAACTCTGTATGAAATATTGATAAAAAAAATATACGGCTGAATTGAAAACCTCCTTTGGAGGAAATCTGTAAGTTAAATAAACATAACCGTTCCCAAGCTACATTCGTTAACAAAGGAATACTGTTTAGTCTATCTCAGAAATTAAAGACCAAATCTTTCGCTATGTAGGTACTCACTTTTGGTATCACACAATCAATAAGTAAACCCTGGAGAAAAGCCTAGTATCTTACTGATATAATAAATGCGAAAGTTTGTGTGTTTGTAAATATGAATGTAATCAATCAATCACATCAAAACGGCTGAATGAATCGAGATGAAATTTGTAGCAGGGATAGATTATGGTCTGGATTAACATATAGGCTACTTTTATCCTACCGAAACACGGGTGAAACTGCTGGCTAGTTATAGATATCATGTTTTTTCAGTATCTTTCCGTTTGTCCCGGAACCTAAAGTTTAGGAACTCATGTCGATCCGTTCCCTCGCTCCATTCATGTGTGAAATAAGGATAAACCCGCATTGTTGTATTTTTACCTGTTCACCCGAAGTTTATTTGTATACTTATAGGTAGGATACATAACATAGATAATCACGCCTTTTATCCCTGATGGGGGTTAGACAGAGGTGCACATTACGGCACTTAATGCCAGTGTACGATATAACACCCACTTTTCACTATTTATTTTACGAGTCCCATGTTATAGGTGACCCTATTGCCATATACCGGGTACAGTTCCAGACTCCGTGTTACTACTGAGATTTTATTTTAAATCGAGTAATTATTTACCCGACCCGGGAATCGAACCCGAGACCCCTTGTACGGCAGTCGCACTTGCGACTACTCGGCTAACGAAGGAAATCAGCAGCAATATGTAGGATCATTCATGATATTGCAAAATAAGTATGTACGTACGACACGTACGTACTAGTGAAGTTTTAAAAACTAATAAACAAAAAACAGTTTCCTATCATTTTAGCAAATAAAACTACTATGCCTTGTCGCAAATGCGAAAGTAACTCTGTCTGTCTGTCTCTCCTTTACGCCTAAACTACTGAACAGATAAAGATGAAATTTGGTACAGACATGGTTTGAAACTCGAGAAAGGACATAGAATAGTTTTTATCCCGGGAATCCAACGGGAGCGAGAACTATGTGGGTAAAACCAAAAATCTACCAGAAGTCACCATTCCACGCGGACGAAGTCGCGGGCAGAAGCTAGTCCTATTAATAAAGTTCCTAATCACTTTTCTGCGCTGATATTGACAAGTTTCCACCCCAAGTTAACGAGCCGTGCCAGGATCATATGTAAGCAGCGATCACCAGTGACCGTAGCCATGTTTGATGTCGCATGGTGATTGATCTATACAGGCTTGGGCCTTGAACCTAGTCGAGGCTGGCGTTTTAATATGAGCGACTAGCTAGGAGACCAGCTACACCATTTGGGAGTGTGATTTCACTCGCTGAAGATTCTAATTGGTCTTTGCGTGATGCTGTAACTTTAAACAAATTCTTAACAATAGATATATAAGATTTTAAAATAACGAAATTATTGTATTATTTAACAATATTCATAATTCTTATTATTTTTGAGTAGAGTAAGTACTTTTGCGGTGCCCAAAAGGGGTTATAGTTGGAACATATTTTGTCAATAACTGTAAACCACCCTGTACACACGATAGATGCATTAATGTGATTTAAATTTGTCCTTGATAAATTGACTTATACAACACATGTCTTTTTGTAGGATGTCAAAATTAAGTGTGAAAAAATCTTCAATTATATTTTTTGATTTCTAGTTTGCAACCTCTTTTGAAGTTTAATTCTCGTGGTTTCCCGCAGAGGTTCGCAAAGCTGTATAAAATTTTGCCATAGTTGTGTTAGAAATCTCTTGTTTTAACTTTTTATTAATCTTCCATAAGGCCACTGGACCAATAAGGCATAATAACTTAACACAAGCACAATTGGACACCCAAGGAAATCCCAAGAGAGGAACCAGTATATAAATATTTTTCTGTAAACGAATTCGCCCATACCTTGTTCGCACACATATCCAGCGACGGTGATGCCGAGTCCTAGCGCGGAGTCCTTGTTCAGCTCGACGTCGTAGCTGAGCGTCTCCGGCTCGCCCGTGCCGCGCACTGCCATGTCCAGGGGCAACCTGGTGGAAGGAGAGCATATATTATAGTAAAGTGGTATGCAATTTTTGTCAACATAGTACTAGATGCCACTAGACTGACTAGGCTTTAGGACTCAAGGAATTCGCCATAATCTCCATTCTCCACGCCTAACAGGCGGGTTTTTGTGAAGGCAGTTTAAATGGTCCAGGTTGATCAGAGGTGCTGCTTTCTTTTAATAGGGTACTGCACCATAATTAGTTTTTAAAACACTCGTGGAAAGAATATCCGGAGTGATACCGCGGCCTCACAGAAGACCGACGTGAAACAACGCTTGCGTTGTGTTTCGTCGTGTGAATGAGGTTACTGGATGCCCAATTACCCCTCCCCCCTTTCCCAATCCCTGAATCCCCGGTGGCTGGGCAACCGGTTGCCGTGCAACGTGTCGCGGGTTCGATTCCCGCACGGAACAACACCTTGTGTGATCCACTATCCACAAATTGTTGTTCCGGGTCTGGGTGTCATGTGTATGTGAACTTGTATGTTTGTAAACGCACACACGACACAGGAGAAAATCCTAGTGTGGGGCAAATTTTTTTAAATAAAAAAAAAACAATCCTAATTCTAAAAGGCCAGTAACGCACTTGTAACGCCTCTGGTGTCCATGGTTGACGCCGATTGCTTACCATCAGGTTATCTACCTAAGGCTATGAACAAATGGATCACAACACAGACACACCACCATTAAGGCAACTAAATGTAGTTTTATACACTAAAAGTTATTTGACAGGTGAGTATCTTAATGTTCTCTTCTTACCTGAGAGGTGGTGGTTGTGGCTGCGGCGGTGGCTGCACGATGGCGGGAGGTCGGGGAGACGGAGCCAGCGCGCCACGTGGCACCACCGCTACTATTGACGCCACCGGCTACGCACAGAGAAAATTTTCAAAGCCACACACCGTCGTCTGGAAGTCATTGAGCGAAGCCTATGTTCTGCAGTGGACGACCAATGAGTGATATGATGAGAACGATGAAACGTCGTGCGACTGGATAAAATAAGGGATAGGTACAAGTAGCAATGTTACTAAAGTAGTTGATTTGTTTTTTTAAAGGGGGAAAATCATCGAATGACTTCTCCCGCCCGGATGAGGCGGGAGGGAGTGTCAGACTAACCGACTAAAAACCACCCAGTTCCTACTCCTGCACTTCGAGTCGGAGCCTTTTACGTTCTCTGCAGCTCTGTATCGGTATTAGCCCTATTAGGCCCCTTCCGTGGTGGTCTGATGGCTCTTTGAGGCGCGCTTCTGGTTCTGGTCGGGCGGTGTAGTACTCAATCCACACTGGGTAGCTATCCATGCTCGCCGTCCGCAGGCCCGTGTAGTTGATACATTTATCAGTACAATAGAGGATAATAATAACATCATCATGTGGGTAATCTTAATATCCAGTCTAGACACTTTAACAAACACCACGCCTTTTTATCCCCGAAGTGGTAGGTAGGGGCGCACATTACGGCATTTAATGCCACTGTACAATGTAACACTCACTTTTCACTATTTATGTTATGAGTCCCATGTAATAAGGATTGAGCCTATTGCCATATACCGGACACGATTCCAGACTCCGTGCTACTACTGAGATTTAAAAAAAAAAACCCTATAATACTTTGCCTGACCTGGGAATCGACCTCAAAACAGCTCGGCAGTCGGACTTGCGACCACTCGGCCAACGAGGTAGGCAAGTAATATTTTAAATCAAAATGAAAATAAAAAGCTATCTGCACTCCGAAACTTCAACCATCACTTTCCTTAAGGAAGCCACTTGAGAAGGAAAACGTACAAAAATGCAATTTAAAGTTGAGAAATTCTTTCCGTTGCTCTGTAAGCTAATCATATCAGATAACGTATATTATTATCATTATTATACTACCTCCCTTAGAAACATTTTCAAGTATAATATTATACAAAGTGAATTGTAAAAAGTATTTGTTTGGGCCGCCATGATGAGATACTTCTGTGTCATTCCGAGTTCGGTTGCTTCTGTTCCGGGTACTGTAATGTTTCATTATGTGTGTGTGTGTGTTTATGTGTGTGTATTGTTATATGTGTTTTTTTTTTTTTTTTTATGGAATAGGAGGCAAACGAGCAGACGGATCACCTGATGGTAAGCAATCAGCGCCGCCCATGGACACCCGCAACACCAGAAGAGTCACAGGTGCGTTGCCGGCCCTTTAAAAAGGAGTACGCTCTTCTCTTGAAGGTTTGAAGGTCGTATCGGTTCGGAAATACCGCCGACGACAGATCATTCCACAGTTTTGCTGTGCGAGGCAGGAAGCTACGTGAGAACCGCACAGTTGTGGCCTGCCAACCATCTATATGATGGGGATGCATATGCTGTCGTGAGGGTCGATGGCGAAAAGATGCGGCAGGTATCAGGTCAAACAATTCCTCAGAGCACTCCCCGTGGTATAAGCGGTAGAAAATGCACAATGAAGCTACATCTCTACGCATTGCCAAAGTGTCGAGCCGGTTTGAAACACCCGGACATCCAACAATCCGAACGGCACGCCGCTGAATGCGGTCCAGAGGAAGAAGCTGGTACTGGGGTGCCCCCGCCCAAAGATGAGAACAGTATTCCATGTGGGGCCGCACCTGTGCCTTATATAGAAGCAGGCGGTGGGTCGGGGTGAAATACTGCCTCGATCTATTGAGCACACCAAGCTTCCTCGAGGCTAATTTGGCCTTATCCTCTAAATGACCGCAAAACTGGACGTCGCTCGAAATATTGACACCAAGTATTCCAATACCGGCTGAGGCAGTTAGGGGGGTGCTTTGAAACTGAGGAGAGACGACCAACGGCAGTTTCTTAGCGGTAAACACGCAGACTTGTGTCTTAGTGGGGTTAAATTGGACCAAATTAAGTCCACCCCAATCAGAGATTCTCCCTAAAGAGGTCTCGATTTCAGACACGAGTCTGTTTCGGCTCTCTATGACGTTTTCCCGAGAAATGTTAGCGCGGCCGGTGTAGTAGGCATCGCCTGTGCTGTCATCCGCATAACAATGAATGCCGCTGATTTGCAGCATGTCATTGATATGGAGGAGGAACAATGTAGGCGATAGCACGCAGCCTTGAGGGACGCCTGCATTTACAGACATCAAGTCAGAGCATTCACCGTCGACGACGACTTTAATGCTTCTGTCTGCAAGGAAGTAGGAGACCCATTTGCATAATTTCTCGGGAAGTCCGTAGGAAGGAAGCTTCGAAAGAAGCGCTCTATGCCAAACCCGATCGAAGGCCTTCGCCACGTCTAAACTTACTGCCAACGCTTCCCCCTTAGACTCGATCGCCTGTGCCCACCGATGCGTTAGGTAAACAAGGAGATCACCAGCAGACCGACCTTTACGAAAACCGTATTGCTGGTCACTGAGCAGCTGATGATCCTCTAAGTAACGCAGGAGCTGGCAGTTAATAATGGACTCCATTATTTTCGAGAAGAGGGAAGTTATGGCTATCGGTCTGTAGTTAGACGGGTTAGATCGATCACCTTTTTTAGGGATTGGGTGGACTAAAGCTGTCTTCCAGGACGTCGGAACTACGCCTGAGGAATAAGAGAGCCGAAAAAGACGTGTGAGAACTGGGGCCAACTCGGGGGCGCACATCTTCAAAACAATGGGTGGGATCCCATCAGGCCCGCTCGACTTATGGACGTCAAGGGATAAAAGCGCCAAACGTACCGTGCGCTGGTGGAACCGCACATCCGGCATATACCTTCCGCACCAAGGCACAACAGGAGGCTCGCGCCCACCGTCATCCAGTGTCGAGTTGGATGCAAAGATTTTTGCCAAAAGTTGAGCCTTATCCCTTGCGTTATGAGCCAACGAATCCTCACCCATGTGCAGAGGTGGAAATGACGGCCTGCAGAAATTGCCCTCGATAGCTTTGGCGAGCGACCAGAATGAACGAGTTCCTGAAGGAAGGCGCTCCAGCCTCTCACCAATTCTACCGATGTGCTGCGACTTGGCACCAGCAATAGCTTTTTTGAAGGACTTGGAGGCAAAGTTATACTCCTTTTTTAGTGCACTGGTATTTACATCCCGTGCCACCGCCGCATCGACCCAGGCTTGGTAGGCCACATGTGTGTGTTATTATGTTACATAATGTTACATACGAGGTTATTTATTTGTTTTTTGATAAAGTTTGGCTTGTTCGAGAGTTACAACCTCCTCGCTATAACCTTATAACCTCTAGCTGGATAGAATAAGGTGAGTAATATTTTTTCACACAAAATTCTATTAATGACTTTACATAATTTAAGGTTTTTTTTTCGAAGTTTGCTTTTTACAATGGTTCGCACCAGTTATTTTTTGTTTGAACCATTTTACATACATACATACATAACCTCACGCCTGTCTCCCATGGGCAGAGACTAAGGAACGCCAATTACTACGATTCTTACATACCTCTTTCGCTTCATTAACAGTCATCAATCTTTTCATGCATGCTCGTCGGTTAAGGGTACTTTTAATTTGGCCCTTCTTTAATATATCGCCAATCTGGTCACTATATGTCCGTCTAAGGCGCCCTCTACCGACGGCCCCGTTCATATCCGCTCTGTATACTTCTTCCGTTACTCTACTTTCATCCATCGTTTCTACATGTCCAAACCAGCGTAACATTCCCTTTTCAATCCTTGTCACTACATCATCTTTCAATCCACACCTTTCTCTAATAACACTATTTTTTACTCGATCACTCAATTTTAGTCCACACATACTTCTCAGGGCTCTCATTTCCACCGCATTAATCCTGCTTTCATGCTTCTTTTGCCACACCCATGATTCACTACCATACATAAGCGTTGGTGTCAATACACACCATTTTATTTATTAATCAGTGTATTACTGACACAGAACTATTTTACTTCAGGACGAAAAATAAATTTAGCGGTGTATCGTATCTTACAATAACAATTCTCTTACCCGATGATGCAGCCGCTCCTCAATGATGGTGGGAGGCGGAGAAGGTGGTGATGTATCCTCACAGAGTGCTCCGAACCCATCGTGGCCTGCCTCCGACAGCCGCCGCTCCAGCTCTATCGGGTCTGCTAGCAGGCGGGACGGTACTACTGGCGCTGGTGGAGCACCTAGAGGCTGAATAGAATTTGGAACATTAGTAAAAATTTATTTATGAAGGTTTTTTACACTTGGATGATTGTGCTTGTGAGAATTTTGCTTGTGTCCTGAGTTCACATAACATCACGCCTTTTGTACCTGAAGTGATTGGCAGTGGTGCACATTACGGCACTTAACTCGTCGAGTACCGTCATTATAGACAAAATTATAGAACAATAGGTTGCGGTCACCGGTGACCGCTTGGTGTTTGACAGTTTAATGCCACTGTACAACATAACACCCACTTTTCACTATTTATGTTATGAGTCCTATGTAATAGGGGATGAGCCTATTGCCATATACCGGGCACAATTCCAGACTCCTTGCTACTAATGTCAAAAAAACAACCCAGTAATAATTTGTCCGACACCCCTTGCTCGGCAGTCGCACTTGCGACCAGTCGGCCAACGAGGCTATCACATACATAAAGATCGATCTTTAAACCTATTTCTGGATACGTTGCCCTGCACAGTCAAATGTTCTTAACATTCGTGTGTAGACTAAACACGCAGCACGCTGCTCATGAGAAAGAACCCCTCTATGGTTCGAAACTAGTAGAGCTTTTCTCAGTATATTCAAGCGAGTAACCCGCGATTTTAGTTAATACACTAAACACAATAATCAGACCCGGATAAATAAAATCAGTTGACTTAACTCGTCGAGGACCGTCATTATGGACACAATTATAGAACAATAGGTTGCGGTCACCGGTGACCGCTTGGTGTTTGACAGTTTAAATACTTGGTTAACAATTTAAATTTATTTTTAAATTAATTACTCTATAAATTACACGCCATGATTATTTCG